GAAAATACCACAGCCGAAAAAAATCGATTATATCGCAAATTATTTCTTTTGCGCCTTTTTTTTAAGTAGACGTTAAATTTTAAAATATCGGTAGACCTTACAGAAATTAAGCTGAATTTTACAGTCGAAATTTTCCTTAAAATTGCTTCTGTTTTTTAAAATGCAAAAGCCCGATCAGCAAACTATTTATTAGTTTTCAAATGTTGAGTTATCGACAAACTTTGGATTTGTAAAAAACAAAATCAAACAATGATTTGCTCTGCTATGTACACACACACGCACAAAATAAATATATCCAAAAAATGCGTATTTTACACACACAGCCATTAGATACATATATGCGTGTGTACGTTTGTGTGTGTGCATTGCAGCTGACTAAGGAATTGAGATTCGCTCAAATTCAAATTCAAGATAATACTTATATCCTTTTGCTAAATGAATATTTCATTTACATTTCCACAACATACTTACATAAGACATTTTGTAACCGATTTTTGTGAACTAAAATTCAAATCGCATTGATAATATTAAAAGAACATTAAATATTCAAACCAATTGATTCTCTTGCTCTTTATTACACGTCCCTCATATTGTTTAAACAAATGTTCAAATGTTTAAACAATTTGGTTCACGGCTTCAAGGTGAAAAATTAATGTGAAAATAAAAATACCTTAACAAAATATCAATGGTAAAATGCAGTAATTTGGAATTGCCTTTCTTGATGTCTTTTCTTAAATTAGTCAAATACATAAAGCAAAACATTGCTCCGCATATTTGTTTCCCTTATAATAGTTGTCTACTGTGGATACCTTCCAAAAACCCCCCGGTAGCAAATTCGCCAAGAGTATTTGGTTTGTACTTACCCATGTGCATAAAATTAGCTTTGCTACATTCTTAGGTAAATAATTAATTATCAAGAATTAACATCTTTACAAAGAGTAAACATAACTCGGTTTAAATAGTTTAAAAATTGCATCTTTAAAAAGCAAAAAATAGAAATAGAAAATGTAGAACGAGGTAGCAAGGCCAATATCAACAGGATTTGTTTTAAAGGACCGATGAAATAAAATTAAGCCTAAAATTATCCTATCTCTGGCATTCATTTTTTTTAAATAAGAATTGGAGACATTAATATTTTTTTAACTGTCGAAGGATATCCCATCACATTTTGAAGCGCTTGTAACATTTCAAGGCGAACTTAAATTAAAAATATTCCCTCAAATTTTTTAAAAAACTTTTAGCAATTTTTTTAAGAATACAAGTTTTTTTCCAGAGTTAAACGCTAATCGATTTGGAATTGAATTACAAACTTAACGCGGCGTGATAATCCATATTTTGGCAGTTTTTTGCTTTGTTTTCGATAAAGTACTGGTTTGATTTTTGCACTCTTAATTCATACAAAAAAATGCATAAATTTATTTGGGTAAGAGCGAGACAGCAATAGTCAAAACTCTCCGAAATTGAAAAAGAGTTTAATATTTTTAACATTTAATCAAATTCGTATCCGATATATTTTTTTCTTAAAGAAATTTTTTTTCAAATAATGTTTCTAGGCTTTAATGGCAATGGATTGGGAATTTAATTACATGCTCAACGCAGTATGACATTCTATATTTAAATAATATGTTTAGGACAAAATACTAATGTTTTGAATGAAATTAGTGTAAGGATTTGTGTCGAAAAAGGAATCTGTTTGTTTCTGTTTTGTCTATCTGTTAACTTATGCAAACAATCCAAATTAATTTTAAAAAGATTTAAAAAAACACATGTTTTTTTAAGTAGTTTTCAAAGGACAAAATATTTTTGTTTTTACGGATATCAAGGGAAAAAGTTCTGATAAAATCTTTTCTCGGTTTATAGAATAAAAATTAAAAATTAAATTTTTTAAATTTAAAATAAGTACCATAGATAAAGCAATGCTTAATTTTCAATTTTAATTTCCGCAGGCGAAGCTGCGGGCTTCAGACCCTGCTAGTAACTTTATATAATTGTATATTAACTATAAAAATAGTTTGGGTTTGGGCACATTCAACCATTTCTAGCAGTGGCGTAACTATTTTTTATAGTAACATTACGTGTACGTATTAAGTAAGAGTAACTATTTACGTGGTAGAATTGAAAAATTTATGTGGTTGGGGACAATTTGACAATTATAACAGTTAATTTTATCAGGTTTTTTTTGTGTGCATACACTCAAAAAATTTTTTTTCCTAAATTTTAGAAAATCGCCATAAAATTAAATTTTTTCTTAATTTTATAAAATTTTCTGAATTTTAGAAATTGTTTTCTTGAATCTAGGAAAAAAGACCAAAAAACAGAATTTTATGAAAAACCTTTCTAAAATTTGGAAAAATGATTTTTTTTCTTAAATCAATGGTGTTTTTTTCTAGTTTGCTCTCCAAAAATTTTCTTAAATTAATGGCGATTTCGCCATTAAATTAAGAAAAAATGTACTTCAGCCCTTCCTATAATCTAGAAAGTCGCCATAAAAAATACGGTAAATTTTTCTAAATTTTAAGAATTTTTCTGAATTAAAAAAAATGTTTTCTTGAAAACAGAAAAGTAGAATTAAAAAATCACCATAGATTTAAGAAAAACTTTTTGTATTTCTTTTATGCTTCTCACTCTTTCTTCGAAACGAAAAAGAAGAAGACAAGGGGTTAGTCCGCGGCGCGTTGCGACGACAGTTTTTGGCGTATGTATGTATATGTTTATGTGTGTTTGTGCGTATGATCGAGAATTTTCTTGTGCGTAGCTGTAACTTTTATTGCGTTGTTGTTTTGGAAATGCAGTCTCTCGCGAGAGAGTTGCTTGCGTTGCGCTGCATTTTGAACTCTTGTGCTCAGTTTTGGATGAGCATTCAAAGTAATAAGTTTGTGTTGAGCCCATTTAAGAAAGTTAAAGTGCGATCCCTCTAAGAGGCAATTAATAGGTAAGCAATTTAAATAAATTTAAATATAAATTTGGTAAGTGTGTGAAAATTTATGGTAAGCAAAGGGCATACTATTGCAGGCCGCAAATACCATCCTTCTCTAATATTAATTTTTATTTTCGATTGCAGGAATAATTTCAATTTCAGGTATTGTTGATAATTTGGCAGTAAGTAAGTAAATTTTAATAATAGGTAATATATTAAATACCTACTTAATATTAATATTAATAATTTTTATCTTTTTTGTTTTGTTTTCTTTTTTCTTTTTTGTTTAGGAAATATTTATAATGTAATTTTTATCTTTTTTTGTTTTCTTTTCTCTTTTTTCTTTAGGAAATATTTATTATCTTATTTTTATCTTTTTTGTTTTGTTTTCCTTTTTTGTTTAGGAAATATTAATAATTTTCTTTTCATCCTTTTTATTTTTTTTTTTTTTATTCTTGTTTAGGAAATAAAATAGTAAAATAAATATGTATACATTTTATTAAAATAAATAAAATTTTCTGAAAATAAAAAAAGTCCTTTCTTATTTTAAGAAAAAAAAATCTATTTTCAAGAAAAGTACTTTCTGGATTTAAGGAAATTTTTCGCAATTTTATGGCAATTTTTCTTGATATAGAAAAGTATTTCTGCTTTTCAGAAATTTTTTTCTAAATTTTAGAAAATTCCTTTCTAAAAAATACGGTAAATCGCCATCGACTGAAATTCATGGCGAATTTCTTGATTTAATGGCGATTTCGGGCTCTTTTTTTTTTTGAGTGTATAAAGGATTATTTGATCATTTTGTGTTTGTCAGATTGTCCAGTCTATTTTATCTTTTAAGGGCCGTTTTCTCGTCCGCCTGTTAAATTTAAAGGAAGTCCTAAACTCCCTAACAAACGGACGAGAAAACGGCCTTAAGCCTTGTACTCAGTACGGTGAAAGCTGCTAGCTAAGCATAGAAGTAAGCGAGAGGCAAATAGGTAGCTAACGCATTTAGCCGGGGCTTTTTTCACCGCGGTACTCTGACGGTATGGCACGGTACGGTATGGTAGGGAAGTACCAAAAAATACCAGATTTGGGCCGTTTTCTCGTTCGTTTGTTAAATTTAAAGTAGGGTTAAAACAATGATTTTCCATACGATTTCACGGCTTTAACCCTACTTTAAATTTAATAAACGGACGAGAAAACGGCCCTTAGCGGATGAATTCCCATGAACGCCTTTAACCGCGGCCCAAAGAATAGAAAATTTGATCTTTGACTGTGTTTGTGCAGAGGCGTTGTGCCAATAACGAATTTTAAATGGAAGGAAAACCCCAAACACCAATGTCTTCGTTCAGCAGAACAACATGATCACTGATAACTGATGGATCAGTAATCAGTGATTAAGTTTGTTCTGCTGAACACTCATGATACATTTCAATGACGTTAAAATAATAAAACATATCAAACAGTGCGCGCGCAATTTAAAAAAAAAAATGATTTTTTAGCTTTCGCGGATACATAAAAATAAAAAATTGCTGAACAATTATAAAGAATTCAACCGAATTATGTTTTTTTTAAATTAATATGTTAACAAGTTTCGATATTTCGACAATCAGTACATGCCAGAAGCCATGTATCATGTATCAAGAAAAGGTAGCGTACTATTTTTACGCTACCTGATACCTGATCACTGCTGCAAAATTCTTGCATCATTAAGCATTAAGTAATCATGTGCGTTCAGCAGAACTATCGTAAGAAATCCATCAGTGATCAGGTATCTTGTTGTTCTGCTAAACGCGCCCAATGAAAAAGTAGTAGTGGGGAAATACATATCTTGCCTTGCCAACAGCAAATTAAAAGCTTGCTGCTATTTCTCTGCCGTAAAAATTTATTATTTCGTAATATGATTTGAATTACATTTGGCTTTCCAAATCTATATTCCTTTCTAAAAACTTAATTTGTCGCGGTCTTTGTTCCATTGGCGCCAGTATGCAACTAGTTGGAACTGGATCCACTGAATCACTTACAAAAACCAATTTTGCAACACATCACCGCGCAGCCTCCTTCAATACCTTAAAACCCACCACCAATCAGACCACGAAGATGCTTTAATGTCCAACTTGGACTGTGTATTGTCGGATGCCCAAAGAAAAAGCATATATATCCAGTGCTTGCTCCTATGGATTTTGCAGAGATGTGAAAATGTAAAAAGAACAACGAGATATCGACTCAATGGATTAACGATCCTTCAGCACTCTACGTACTAAATGTATGTAACTCATGTTATTGCTAATATATAAAGATGAGTATCCAGGTGTTGAGGAAAAGTTCTGTGGTAGTAGAAGCAATCGCTCCTGCAAGGTCACACATAAAACTCCTGTGTTAAAAAAGTATTGTAAGCTGGTTCAAGGTACAACTAGTGACGTCAAAACGTATGTTTACTGGACATTAATGCGTATGTATGTATAAGGTCCTTGAAAGGATTACTTAGACCTAAGTACTTACATACGCAAGTAGTTTGCGGGAAGAGTAAATGAAAAAATAGGCTAGAATCTTTTTTTGAAAAGATGCATGTTCCCACGATACTGCATAATATTGGTGAAAAGACTGGTCGCAGATTTTCTGCTAAAGTCGAAAGCGTTGGCACAAAACTAGTATTTGTATGTTCAAATGTACATCAGAAGTACTTTTATTCGTCTTGCGCTTCAAGCGCATTTTCATAACAGCTGCTTTTTGTTTTGATTTGACTATTAATTATAGGATATCAGTCGGTAAGAGAAATAAAAGAAAGGAAGTTAATTACGGCAGGCCGAAGTTTGTATACCCTTGATTAATATGATTTCAGTCAGAAGTTTGCAACGCAGTGAAGGAGACGTTTCCGACCCCATAAAGTATATATATTCTTGATCAGCATCACTAGACGAGTCGATCTAGCCATGTCCGTCTGTCCGTCCGTCTGTTTCTACGCAAAATAGTCTCTCAGTTTCCCAAAAGTATTCTTTCTATTGCAGGTAGTATATATGTCGGAACCGACCGGATCGGACAACTATACATTTTAGCCCCCATAGAAAGGATCGGAAAAAAAACGTTGAAAAAATTCTAACTTCGGTGTTTTCTCAAATATTACCTTCTACTTTTGGGAATATTATTTTTTATATATTTCTGAATTTCGGTTTTTTTGTTTTTTAAATCGGATCACTATATCATATAGCTGCCATAGGAACGGTCGAAAAATTAAATGGAAATTAATGGGAAAAAAATTATATCTCTGTTGGTTTTTATTACATTCCCTTCTACTCTGGGATATGACTATTTTGAAATATTTCCGATAGAGGGTATTATAATTTCAGTCAGATGTTTGCAACGCAGTGAAGGAGACGTTTCCGACCACATAAAGTATATATATTCTTGATCAGCACCAATAGCCGAGTCTATCTAGCCATGTCCGTCTGTCCGTCTGTCCGTTTCTATGCGAACTAGTCTCTCAGTTTTAAAGCTATCGCGATGAAACTTTCCCGAAAGTCTTCTTTCTATTGCAGGTAGTACATATGTCGGAGCGAGCCGGATCGGACCACTATATCTTAAGGCTCCTATAGGAAAATTCAAACAAATATAAGAAAATTCATTGTAACTTTGTAGGAAGTAGGCGTTTTGATTCTTGACTACTTAAAAACAAAATTGGAATTCCTGGAACTGCACCGAGGAAGTATTACTTTATCTACAAGGGTATATAAGCTTCGGCTGGCCGAAGGTAGCTTCCTTTCTTGTTTTTCTTTTGCAAAGGCAAAGGGTCAAACGTGGTTTTTAAGATATAGTTTCTTTTGCAAGATTGCTTAGAATTCTTCTTAGATTGCGTTCCCGCCCACGATTTATCACTTTTTTTTAAGGCCATACAGATCGACCCAGTCTAATATATATTATTACTAGCAGGGTCTGAAGCCCGCAGCTTAGCCTGCGGAAATTAAAATTGAAAATTAAGCATTGCTTTATCTATGGTACTTATTTTAAATTTAAAAAATTTAATTTTTATTTTTATTTTATAAACCGAGAAAAGATTTTATCAGAACTTTTTCCCTTGATATCCGTAAAAACAAAAATATTTTGTCCTTTGAAAACTACTTAAAAAACATGTGTTTTTTTTAATCTTTTTAAAATTATTATGGATTGTTTGCATAAGTTAACAGATGGACAAAACAGAAACAAACAGATTCCTTTTTCGACACAAATCCTTACACTAATTTCATTCAAAACATTAGTATTTTGTCCTAAACATATTATTTAAATATAGAATGTCATACTGCGTTGAGCATGTAATTAAATTCCCAATCCATTGCCACTAAAGCCTAGAAACATTATTTGAAAAAAAATTTCTTTAAGAAAAAAATATATCGGATACGAATTTGATTAAATGTTAAAAATATTAAACTCTTTTTCAATTTCGGAGAGTTTTGACTATTGCTGTCTCGCTCTTACCCAGATAAATTTATGCATTTTTTTGTATGAATTAAGAGTGCAACAAGAGAGAACGCTATAGTCGGGTGCCCCGACTATCAGATACCCGTTACTCAGCTAAAGGGAGTGCGAAAGAGATGGAGAAAAACTTTGATCCGCCGTAACTTTTTAACGAATGGTCCGATTTAAAAAATTTCTTCTACATTTCGATAGGTATTGATAAACACAATAAAACTGCATTTTTACTTTTCCAAAATATTGAAATTTTTAAAATCGTATATAAGCGATTGTGGGCATTAGAGGGGGCGTGGCACCCTTTTGAAACAAACTTGCGCTGCGTAGGAACTCCTAGAATCTGCATGCAAAATGTCAATCTTCTAGCTTTTATAGTTTCCGAGATCTCAGCGTTCATACAGACAGACAGACAGACGGACAGACAGACGGACAGACAGACGGACAGACGGACAGACAGACGGACATGGCTAGATCGACTCGGCTAGTGATCCCGATCAAGAATATATATAGTTTATAGGGTCGGAAACGCTTCCTTCTACCTGTTACATACTTTTGCACGAATCTAATATACCCTTTTACTCTACGAGTAACGGGTATAAAAACTGCCAAAATATGGATTATCACGCCGCGTTAAGTTTGTAATTCAATTCCAAATCGATTAGCGTTTAACTCTGGAAAAAAACTTGTATTCTTAAAAAAATTGCTAAAAGTTTTACATAGCTCTCCAACAACCAATATAATAATTTTGATTAAGATTTAAAAAATTTGAGGGAATATTTTTAATTTAAGTTCACCTTGAAATGTTACAAGCGCTTCAAAATGTGATGGGATATCCTTCGACAGTTAAAAAAATATTAATGTCTCCAATTCTTATTTAAAAAAAATGAATGCCAGAGATAGGATAATTTTAGGCTTAATTTTATTTCATCGGTCCCTTAAAAAAAATCCTGTTGATATTGGCCTTGCTACCTCGTTCTACATTTTCTATTTCTATTTTTTGTTTTTTAAAGATGCAATTTTTAAACTATTTAAACCGAGTTATGTTTACTCTTTGTAAAGATGTTAATTCTTGATAATTATATGCACATGGGTAAGTACAAACCAAATACTCTTGGCGAATTTGCTACCGGGGGGTTTTTGGAAGGTATCCACAGTAGACAACTATTATAAGGGAAACAAATATGCGGAGCAATGTTTTGCTTTATGTATTTGACTAATTTAAGAAAAGACATCAAGAAAGGCAATTCCAAATTACTGCATTTTACCATTGATATTTTGTTAAGGTATTTTTATTTTCACATTAATTTTTCACCTTGAAGCCGTGAACCAAATTGTTTAAACATTTGAACATTTGTTTAAACAATATGAGGGACGTGTAATAAAGAGCAAGAGAATCAATTGGTTTGAATATTTAATGTTCTTTTAATATTATCAATGCGATTTGAATTTTAGTTCACAAAAATCGGTTACAAAATGTCTTATGTAAGTATGTTGTGGAAATGTAAATGAAATATTCATTTAGCAAAAGGATATAAGTATTATCTTGAATTTGAATTTGAGCGAATCTCAATTCCTTCCCACCGGGAAAATTCCTCTGGAAAATAACATATTTTCAAGAGGTTTTTCTATAGAAGCGGAAGGGACTAAACCTCATTCACCCCTTACATTTCTTCCATCTCTGGTTTCAAAATACACGGGGGTGACTCAAAAAGTAAGGGGGAAATGAGGTTTCTATCTGGATCTCTGGCAGAAGAATGCAGGACAAAATCCACTGGTTTTTCGACTTCCCGCATTATAGATTTTCCACACGTACCCAGTTATGGTTTTCCTCCACTTGCAATATCTGTTTTTCTACACCCTCCCAGTTTTGGTTTTTCCAGACCCTCGCAGTTTTGGTTTTGCACTGCTTTGCAGTATCTGATTTTCCACACTAAAAATCATGTTTTTTTGTAATATTTGTTTGTGTATTTATTAATAATATTTACAATCGAAGCATTGGAACTACAAATTTTTAATGCCTGAAGCATTCCCGGGTTTTGCTTGGCCGAATGCAGTACTTAGATATCCATTTCTTGTCTGTCTTCTGAAAATATCAAACATAATTTAGATATGAATGTAAGACCAGGAATAATAATAAGAGTAATTACCATTATTAGGTCTCCGCACAAAATTAAAGGATCTCTCTAGAAATTATGCCTGGTTTGCCATGGCCGATCATTTACCCTCTGTTCAGTTGTTTTATGTCGGGTATCTATACCAAAAACTATGAGAAGAAAAAATAAAATATGACAAACGCAGGCGCAACACTTCTGGTCCCAAGAAGTCTCAGTCGGCCTGGCTGAAATAAATGTAATATTTTGATTAAGTTAAACAACTAAGTTAGTACTGAAGTACTATTTATACAACCATTTAATGAACACCTCACACCATTTACCACTGGTAAAGATTAAAAACATTTCAAGTGTCACTGAAATGCAGAATTTGTGTTGAAGATAGCATCCGGAGGCGTATATTTATTAATGGCGAAAATATCTGTGATACTAACCTTTGTAACGCTGAAATAAAGGTTATAAAAAGACAAAATTCATTTTATCACGCACCTTTTTATTGTTTTTTAGATTAAAATTAACTATTTTCACTTTTTTTTTCACTTTTTCCAACAAATTTAAAAATGATGTGACCCTGCATTATATTCTTGATAATACCATACAAAATGCAGATAAATGTGGGGTAAATTTCGTTGTAAAGTTGGGTCACACTTTGGCGCCGAATAAATATTTAAACAATACTTTTCAGGGACCGTAATCATTAAAGGTTACGTATATTATAGGTATATTAGGCATTTTTCGTGTTATCAATACCACCAAAACGAATTTTTATATTTTAACAACACTTAAAAATGGCTTAGGCCACGATCTGACGAACAAATTATTTTATTTCACAGAAAATGTTTAAAAATGTAAAAAACAACAATAGTTTTCTTTGTAATTTAATGTAATTCCTTGATAAATGTGATCAATTATTTTAATCGTCTTACCGTGGCTTTTCTCTATAATTTGGTTGAATCCCACATTCATCCTTATTATTATTTGAAAAATGTTGAGTAAAATAAATTAATATTATCATTATAGACATTATGATAATAATGTTATATAGTTTAATTTTTTTGATTAACAATTATTAATATTTTTTCTACGACTTTTAAAATTACTAAAAATTAAAACTAAATGTGAGAACAAGTCTTTTGGTTTTGGTGTAAATCATAGGATTTTTTAATATTATAAGTTGGTGATTTTTTTTGTTAAAAAATATTATAATCGTAGTGCCACAGAAATCACACAGCGCATAAATGGCCTGATATTGATGCTACTCAGAAACCCACCCTCATTTAACGCTCAGAAATTATCTATCCCTACACCGCCGCCTGCAAAAAGGAACAGGATTTCAAGAACACAAAAACCAACTTCTCACATTCCCGCTGGGTTAGTCAGCTGCAATGCACACACACAAACGTACACACGCATATATGTATCTAATGGCTGTGTGTGTAAAATACGCATTTTTTGGATATATTTATTTTGTGCGTGTGTGTGTACATAGCAGAGCAAATCATTGTTTGATTTTGTTTTTTACAAATCCAAAGTTTGTCGATAACTCAACATTTGAAAACTAATAAATAGTTTGCTGATCGGGCTTTTGCATTTTAAAAAACAGAAGCAATTTTAAGGAAAATTTCGACTGTAAAATTCAGCTTAATTTCTGTAAGGTCTACCGATATTTTAAAATTTAACGTCTACTTAAAAAAAAGGCGCAAAAGAAATAATTTGCGATATAATCGATTTTTTTCGGCTGTGGTATTTTCATATTCCCCTTGCGCGGTCACACTTAAATTGCGACAGCAGGACATACATATGTACATACATACATGCGCCAGCAGAACATACATACAAACATATGGGGACGCGTGACGTCACATCAGTTTAGCCAAATTTGAAAATATTGGCGACTTGGTTAAGGATGCTGAATCTCCAAGAAATTTAAATGCAGTTATTTGCGGGTATGCCATAAGATTATGAACATCACATTTTTAAACCATTTTTACAACATTTATAACAGAGAAATGGCAAAAGAAAGAATTAAAAAAAAAACAAATCGAATTTTGGGGCACTTTGGGGTCGTTTTTTGTTCTACAAAGTACCCCTTACGCGGCTCCTAATTATTTTAGTAATTACTGTGATTTTTCTAGATTTTTAGGTCAATCCGTTCTGGGTGGAATTTGCTACTGACCGTTTTTTTAATCAAGACCAATATTGATTTAGATTAAATTAGCTATACCGATTTATAGCTCCAGTTCACAGGCCTTACATAAAAAATGTATGAGTTAGGGCCGGTTTCTCGAGTCCCTGTCAAAGTCCCTGATAGCTATCTGTTCGAAAAACTTAAATACCAGATAAACTGTTCGTAAGAGCAAATCCGCTTTCTCGACTGCTTTAATTTATCTGAACGAGAAACAATTACAGAGTGCTGTTAATGCACAGAATTGTGCAGTGAAGCGCAAAAAATGGCATGCTTCGATTATTTCATCAGCTGTTTGGGTATAATTCAAAGCAAAGTCAGCTGTGATTTCGTTTCTTCTTCATAGTTGGCTTTGGGAAATCAGCTGTCATTCTATCGAGTCGAAAACGCTTAACAGGGACTCCGAGTCCCTGTCAAAGTTAGCTCTCACATTTATGCTCGAGAAAGCAAAAATGCCTTAGCAGGGACTTTATCTGTTCGAGAAATGTTAGCCGGCACTCGAGAAACCGGCCCTAAATACTTTACATATATTTGTTTTACTACAAATTTTTTTTTGTATAAAAAAAATAATTTTGTGTTTTCTCATTTTCAGTGTGATCCCAATAGATTAAGAATAAAGAAGCTTGTCATGTCATGGGAGAGCATTGATTCTAAGGATCTGCTTAGGTATTTAAATATATTAACTTTATATACTTACATTAGGGTGGGTCGATTTGGGATCCCAAAAATCGTATTGGGGGAACGCAATCTTTAAAGGATTCTAAGTCATATTGGCAAACATATGATATTTTCCTCAAAGAAGCTGTATTTTTTATTCGCGTTTTGGGGGTCAAACGTCATTTTAGACCATAAGTATGTTCGCCAATATGGCTTAGAATCCTTTAAAGATTACGTTCTCCCTATACGATTCATCACTTTTTTCGGCGCCATACAAATCGACCCGCCCTAACTTACATATATGTATGTATCTACATATTTGCATACATTTCTTTTTACTTTTAGCATCCCACCTAGCCAGAATCTGTCTGCAACACACTTACTTACATCACCTGATGGCTCGCGTTACCTATTGGAAAATTCAAACGGTTTGAAGATTAATTATATTCACTTGCCTGTGTAAAAAATAATCACGCTTGTATCATAGAGCTACAAGATTTTACCTTTGTTATACCTTGCGGAGGATATTATGAATTTAGCCAGAAGTTTGCATCTTAGTGAAGGAGACGTTTTCAACCCTTTAAAGTAAACACGAGTTTAGCACACCATGATCAACCCGTCATATTTCTCTATATCTCCTTTCCCGTTAGATATTTTAAGTTTCTGTTTTCACCGACCTTTGTGCTATAAATATAACAACTTCCGCTGTTAATATCGTCCCATTCGCTTTTATCATTGTTCTATGGCAATTTTAGTGGATCAACAAAATGATTTTCAAGTCCTTTCAAATGGTATAAAAATCTCCAAACCACATATTTTTTAACCATTTAAAAAATAATGAAAGAGGTACATATCATTAAGATTGGCTGGTCTGTCCGTCTGTCCGAATACCACAAAATTTCATTTATACTTCTCGGAAATCTTTAAAGGTGTGGGCGCCAGAGACATTTTAAAATCGTTAGTGAGCGATTGTGTGCGTTAAAATAAACTTGCGCTCCGTAGGAAGCCCAAGAATATGTGTGGAAAATCTCAACCTTCTAGCTTTTGTAGTTTCCGAGATCTCAGCGCTCATACGAACAGACAGACGGATATGGCTATATCGACTCGGCTAGTGACCCTGATGAAGAATATATATACTTTTACTCTACGAGTAACGGGTATAAAAACATTGTAGAAAGTAGGCGTTTTGATTTTTGGCATTGTAAAAACAACATTCTATGTAGGAAAACCTGCAAGGGTATACATATAAACTTCGGCTTGCCGAAGTTAACTTTCTTTCTTGTTATACCCTTGGAGAGGGTATTATAATTTCGGTCAGATTTTTGCAACGCAGTGAAGGAGACGTCTCCGACCACATAAAGTATATACAACCCTAGTCAAAAGTATTTTCTCAAATTTGAATGTTAACTGTACTCATATTTTGAACTTATAATATAAACATTTTGGCACCTATGGAAAGAGCACTTCAATTCCGTTTAAATGACACAAAAATTTTCTTAACCCATTAAGCACCCTTTGAAAAGTGAGCAAATTAGACAATTTTTTTTGAAAATAAAATTTTCAACTTTTTTGAAAATAGCTATTTTTGCCGCCATTTCTTCCTTTTCATACAAAATTTTACTGAGAGGTCTCCATTCAAAAAATCATAAAAAATACAAGGAAAAATATTTTGAAACATTTTTTTTTGCAGGTCTTATTAATTTTAATTGGGGAACAACTTTGCATCAAAACATTTTTGTTTTAAGCCCCAGGAAAAAAGTCGAAAATTTGACTTTCGCAAAATTTGCTCACTTTTCAAAGGGGTCTTAATGGGTTAAGAACATTTTTGTGTCATTTAAACGGAATTGAAGTGCTCTTTCTATAGGTGCCAAAAGTTTATATTATTAGTTCAAAATATAAGTACAGTTAACATTTACATTTGTGAAAATACTTTTGACCACCCCTGTATATTCTTGATCAGCACCAATAGCCGAGTCTATCTAGCCATGTCCGTCTGTCAGTCTGTCCGTTTCTATGCGAACTAGTCCCTCAGTTTTAAAGCTATCGCGATGAAACTTTCCCAAAAGTCTTCATTCTATTGCAGGTAGTACATATGTTCGGATCGGACCACTATATCTTATGGCTCCCATAGGAATAATCAAAAAAATAATAGAAAAACTATTGTAACTTTGTAGAAAGTAGGCGTCTTGATTTTTGAGAATGTAAAAACAACATTTTAAGTAGGTATACCTGCAAGGGTATATAAACTTCGGCTGGCCGAAGTCAACTTTCTTTCTTGTTTTTAATTCATTTTTTTAACTTACGACTTTAATTGTAGTGTTACTATTCAAAGATCAAAAAAACCAATTACATGTGTGTAGAGGTTCCTCCGCAGAACAAGTTGCCAAGTGACAACCTCTCTAACGCCCTGGTCGAAATCGCTTTTATTTCATTTATTTATTTTAGCGATTAACTGCTAACTTAGACCTGACCTTCCTCTACTTATTACATATTTTCTACGAATTCTATGTACCCTTATCTTAATAGAGTCTGAAATGTCTCCTTCTTTATTAGTAGTATTGTTTCTTTGTTTGGTGTTGGCACGCCTTTTAACAATTTTAATATTGTCGATACTTCTACAATTGATAAATATGTTGCAGATTTGTGTCAATTAGATGAGAGTTTTTCCCGACTGGCGGGATATGGGTCCAGTCCTGATGTAGGATCCCGTTCCCTCTGGGCTGGCCAGGGGGTATTGCGATCAGGTTCGGTGATCAGTTGCTTTTTGTCCTGCCAACAAAGTCTCAAGCAGTACATAGCTAAAAGAAAGGTAAGGCTGTTAGAAGTAGGGAAGTAAATATTGATGATTTAATCCATGTTCTACTCCAGATCGAGCGTGGACGACGTCTATATGAGCAAAACAACCAAACAGAGGCAGTACGCACATGGCGTAGTGCACTAAAAGGAACCTGCCAACCAGAGGACTGCTTCCAGCTACTGGGATACTTGTATGTATGAGCGTTCGGAGATCCCTAAAAAATGTAGCCGTGCAATTGCGAATGTCATTAGTGTGACTCTAACCAATCAAATGTGACTTGAAATCTGAATTTTTTTATGCCTATCGGGGTGCTAAATAATTTGCGAACAATATATTAAAAATTTATAAGCAAATCATTAAATATCTGCTAGATGACCAGAGTTCGGGCAGTCGTTTTACTGCTTGCATAAATCCATATTTTTAAGACTCCTTTAGCTGAGTAACGGTAATTTGACAGACAAGACACCCACTCCACCATTGCGTTTTCTCTTGTTTTTGTATCTAAACATCGATTTGTTTTTACTTTCAATTCACAGGTACCAGGCCCACATGGACTGGGGAAAATTTCGTGAAGCTATAGAATTTGGTCATCAGCAGCTTGGGTGAGTTTACATAAGGCCTTCACCGATATATCCAATCTACTTACATATGCCCATCTAAAACAGAAATATGACTTTTCGGAGAGATTCGTTCAGATAGCAAAAGATAAAGGATTATTCCATTATAAAATATCGGATTTTATATACGACCCATTGTTGTTATAGGGCATTATTAGGCATCTCAAGGTCATGACTTTAAGAAGTCCAAGTAGTCCACATTATGCCAACACACACAAAGGAGCGAAGAGGCTGCAATGTACATGCATGTTTCAAACAAAGTCCAACAACAACACACTAAGTGCTTGATTAGTTTTTCGCAGTTTACCGCTCTGGCGACGCTCTAATTCTCAACCAGTTAGAGCGCTGCTTGCATGGTAACCCACTCCTGATAATTGTAGTTGCTTACTACATGAAACATGCATGTACAGTGAAGCCTCTTCGCGCCTTAATGGGGCATAAAGGCATACAAAAGGCGACTACTATATCTACTATTTGGGACATTTTCAAAATTAGTGAACTAAACTAGTGTTTGTAAATATTGCCCTTTCTTATTTATAAATTCGAATATCTTCAGAATTTCAGAGGAGCTGGATTCACCAAATATGCGCGCTGAGACGTACCTAAACCTCAGCAGAGCTCACGCTTGTTTGGGCGGCTTGGAGCGATCGCTAAGTTATGCTAGGCACTCACTTTACAATGAGTGCGGCACTAAGTGCCGAAGTGGCCTTGTCCATTTGACGGTTGCACGAGTATATTTGGAAATGGGTGGATTCTCTAGAGCTCTGGAAGGATTGCAGGGTGCCTACAAGATAGCCACAGCTATTGGAGATCCATCGCTTGAGTTACAAGTGTATGTCGCGCTGTCTGAGCTTTTTGGACGGCTTCAGGATAACGACAAAAGCGCAACGTACGCTTCTAAGGCCTACGATTTATCACGTTCCCTACAACTAGGTGACCTGAACTCATGCCACCATAGAGCCGCGTTATTGCGAATGGCTGTTTCTCTGCGAAAGCAGGGCGAGCTCGGAGATGCACAAGATTATTGTAAGGTAGTGTCAAGTCCATTTAAGTTTATTTACTCAACGTCAATTGTGCTAACCGTTGATTGTTATTCCGTTTAAGGAGGCCACAAAGCTATCTCTTATATCTGGAGATCAGGCCACTTACACGCGAAGTATTCGCGTTATGGGTGACATTTACCGGAAGAAAATGGATATGGATGTAAGTATTCGACTACACAAAAAAAATGCATGTCACCGTAAAGTCGAAATGGCCATGTTAATTTCTGGTCATGCGAAACCCAGATTGTTTTTACATGAAGTACTCTTTTCGGCCAGGTCAAATTTACCTGGCCTCATATCAAATAAAAATTGATCTTAAATAATGTAAAATCGATCTACGCTTCATATCGACTTTTTTTTGGGAGAACACTTGTATCAGTGGTTAATTTACAAGTTAACTGGAAGCTTTTTTCTGCAAATGATTGGTTCAGGAGAATTACATCTAAAACTCAAACCTAGTGGTTAAGTAGTTGCCGTTACCAATCCTAAGATAACATTGTGCAGCAGTTTTAATGCTTTTTAAATTTACCTCGATGGATGCTATATTCTTGGATTCGTTACGAATTCCCAAGATAAACTGCGTTTTCCAAAAAGTTTCCCGACGCAAGGATTCTTAGCAAAAGGACCTTAAAGTTCTAAAAACGCTGAAATTGGCCAGTTTTCCGGAGAAATTTTGGGAAAACGCAGTTTAACTTGGGAATTCGTAACGTATCCAAAAATATAGCATCCATCGAAGTAAATTTTTGATGCTGCATAGTGTAATTAATTTCAAGACTTACAGGCCACTTTTAGATCTAGAATGTACCTATGTTTGTATCAAATTTTATTAAACAAATTAAATTGTATTTATGCGGTTATTCCACGACATTGTTAGGCTCATTCATTAGAGCAACTTTTTCTCAGCCTTTACGATTGTACGTAGGTGCGAGCAAGGCAGACATATAATTTTATTTATAAAATAAAATTGGTACTTGGTACTGTGATTAAAAAACTTGCGGTGCGCAGGAATCTCTAGTTTAAACTTTCCAAATTGTCTCTTTATACCCGTTACTCGTAGAGTAAAAGGGTATATTGTATTCGTGCAAAAGTATGTAACAGGGAGAAAGTAAAGTAAAGAAAGTAAAGTAAAGTATATATATTCTTGATCAGGGTCAATAGTCGTGTCGATATAGCCATGTCCGTCTGTCCGTCTGTCTGTCTGAGATCTTGGAAACTACAAAAGCACACAAATTTCTTTATTTCAGCCGAGGCCCCCTCTAACGCCCAAAATCGCTTACTAACGATTTTAAAATGTGTCTGGCGGCCACGCCTTTAAAGATTTCCGACAAGTATAAATGCAATTTTTTTGTGTATATTTTTAGCTATCGAAATGTAGAAGACATTTTCAAATCTGACCATTCGTTAAAAAGTTATACGCAATCAAAAAAATGTTATATATCCATATCCCTCGCACTCCCTATAACCGAATGACGGGACACCAACCCGACTTTAGCGTTTTCTCTTGTTTTTGGTAATATAGTCACAGAACTCAACTTTAGCGCTCTCTCTTGTTTTAAATTAAATATTGCATTAAATATTTTTAAAATCTAAGACATTTTTTGACAACCAACAACATAAAAATATTATTTTTAGCGCGCATTCCGGCAATACGAACAGGCGATGGGTACGTCAGCAAGTTTGGGGGATCGTATGGCTCAAATGGAAGCTATGGACGGAGCTGCCCGTTGCCTGGAAACCTTGCGTCTTCAAAACAAAATCTGCAACTGTAGACCGCTGGAGTTCAACACTCGGCTTCTGGAGGTTGCTAGCTCAATTGGTGCCAAGGTAAGAACCATATAGTAAGACAAAACGAGCTTCCCATAGAAAAGTAACAAGGCTTTCGTTTGTGTTTTTTAACAGCCACCTATTATGCATTTATATATATTCTGGTTATTCCCTAAGGCTTAGTACTCAACCCAACAAAAAGTCGTCCAAAACAAAAAACTTCATATGAAAACAAGAAAGGAAGCTAGCTTCGGCAAGCCGAAGCTTATATACCCTTGCAGATCATTCTATTAATTTACAAATCACAAAAATGTTAAATTTCTTATTATTTCACATTAATTTTTCGATCGTTTCTATCACAGCTATATGATATAGTAGTTCGATTTTTTAAAAATTAAAATCGAAATTCGGAAATATTTCAAAATAGTCATATCCCAGAGTAGAAGGGAATGTAATAAAAACCAACAAAGATATAATTTTTTTCCCATTAATTTCCATTTAATTTTTCGACCGTTCCTATGGCAGCTATATGATATAGAAATTCAGAAATATATAAAAAAAAATATTCCCAAGAGTAAAAGGTAAAATTTCAAAAAACACCGGAGCTAGAATTTTTTTACGTTTTTTTTTTTGATCCTTCCTATGGGAGCTATAAGATATAGTTGTCCGATCCGGTTGGTTCCGACATATATACTACCTGCAATAGAAATACGACTTTTACGAAAGTTTCATCCCGATAGCTTTAAAACTGAGAGACTAGTTTGCGTAGAAACGGACGGACAGACGGACAGACGGACGGACAGACGGACATGGCTAGATCGACTCGTCTTGTGATGCTGATCAAGAATATATATACTTTATGGGGTCGGAAATGTCTCCTTCACTGCGTTGCAAACTTCTGACTAAAATCATAATACCCTCTGCAAGAGTATAACAAGAAAGGAAGCTACCTTCGGCCAGCCGAAGCTTATATACCCTTGTAGATAAAGTAATGCTCACTCGGTGCAGTTCCAGGGATTCCAGATTCAGCGTTTATATTTTAATTTTGTTAATACATAAGTAGTCAAGAATCAAAACGCCTACTTCCTACATAGTTACAATGAATTTTCTTATATTTGTTTGAATATTCCTATGGGAGCCTTAAGATATAGTGGTCCGATCCGGCTCGCTCCAACATATGTACTACCTGCAATAGAAAGAAGACTTTTGGGAAAGTTTCATCGCGATAGCTTTAAAACTGAGGGACTAGTTCGCATAGAAACGGACAGACGGACATGGCTAGATAGACTCGGCTATTGGTGCTGATCAAGAATATATATACTTTATGCGGTCGGAAACGTCTCCTTCACTGCGTTGCAAACATCTGACTGAAATTATAATACCCTCTACAAGGGTATAAAAAGTCAAGAAATTTTATTTCATATGAAGTGTTTTGTTTTGACCGACTTTTCGTTGGGTTGAGTACGATCCGTAAAGTTGAAAGTTGAAAATTTAAAATAATATTTGAAAGAATAATTGTTAAATGGTTAAGGGCCGGTTTCTCGAGTGCCGGCTAACATTTCTCGAACAGATAAAGTCCCTGCTAGGGCATTTTGGCTGTCTCGAGCAACAATGTGAGAGCTAACTTTGACAGGGACTCGGAGTCCCTGTTAAGCGTTTTCGACTCGATAGAATGACAGCTGATTTGCCAAAGCCAACTAAGAAGAAGAAACGAAATCACAGCTGACTTTTCCTTTGAATTACACCCAAACAGCTGGTAAAATAATCGAAGCACGCCATTTTTTGCGCTTCACAGCCCAATTCTGTGCGTTAACAGCACTCTGTAATTGTTTCTCGTTCAAATAAATTTAAGCAGTCGAGAAAGCGGATTTGCTTTTACGAACAGTTTATCTGGTATTTAAGTTTTTCGTACAGATAGCTATCAGGGACTTTGACAGGGACTCGAGAAACCGGCCCTAAAACAGCTGACCAAAATTAAACAATTCAACAGTTTAGGGAATCCCCTAATCATTTTTTTTACGTAATTACCTATGGGCTGAGGGGATCAACAAAATTATTACCGTAGAGCAAAAATTTTTATACCCGTTACTCGTAGAGTAAAAGGGTTTGTTGTATTCGTGAAAAGTATGTAACAGGGAGAAGGAACCTTTTCCGGCTTTATAAAGTATATATTCTTGATCAGGGTCACTAGCCGAGTCGATATAGCCATATCCGTCTGTCTGTCCGTATAAACGCTGAGATCTCGGAAACTACAAAAGCTAGAAAGTTGGGATTACCCACACATATTCTTGGGCATCCTACGCAGCGCAAGTTTGTTACAGCCGAGCGCCACGCCCCCAAAACAAATCTAGTTGTCATAGAAACCATTTGAAAATCAAGTACACGGTTTTAAACCAAACTAAGCTAATGTTCCTAAAATCAGAGCAAATTTACTCCGAAACTCATAGAAAACCATATCTACAGAACCTACGATTTTGATGGGTTGGTTTACAAACCAACCATCCCAAAATCCGTCGCAGATTTCTGTGAAACCCCAGAATGTGATATTTCATTATTCATATGTTGATAATTATCAACAACCCTTATATAACCCAAATATAAAAAAAACAAAAACTAAGACCACTTGTGCAGTGAAAGTCAAGTTTTAAATTCACGGGAAAGCCTTGCAATCATAGTATAAAGCGAATATGGTTACTTTGCAGCTTATATGTAAATATGTGCTGTTTTTATTGCAGTTTCTGGTTCGAAAGATTCGTTGCCGCCTGGCACTTATCTATCGCGCACTAGGCGACGAGGATCAGTACAACACCCATTTTCGTTTGGCAAATCAAACGGATGCTGCGCTAGGCTTGAATTGCGGCGCGTGTGGCGAGTTGTTCGGCCTTCGGCCAGAAAACTTGGAAGCTCTGCCATGCGCACACATTCTTCATGCAAGGTAAGTGTATTATTAATTTCTAGCAGTTTGAGATAACTTTTCTTAAGTCATGAGGAATTTGCTTAGGGTATAATGATTTCAGTCAAAAGTTTGCAACGCAAAGAAGGATCCGATTCCGACCCAATAAAGTATATATATATATTCTTGATCAGCATCACTACACGAGTCGAGCCATGTCCGTCCGGCGGCCTGTCCGTTTCTACGCAAACTACCCTGCAGGAAAAATGCGAACTAGTCTGAAAAACAACTAGTTAAATAACTAATATAAAGCCACCGGAATTTGTCTGAATGCATTGGGACTACACAGGGTCTAGAAAATTTGTGCTAGTCGAAAAAATGATTAATACAAAACTAGTAAAAAAGAAACTTGTCTCGGACTTGTACCTTTCGGACAAAAAAAACCTTAAAAATATTTAATTGGTAGAACAAATACATGTTAGGGTCTAGTTAAAAGGCAACTGGAATTTAACTAGTTGCAAATGAAACACATATGATCCAAAAATATAGCCTAGAGTGTAAATGTCTTGGGAAATTTAACACTAAACAAATCAAACACTCGAGGTCCTCGGTTCAATCCCCAGTCTCTGTACATTTTTTTTTTGTTTTTTGTTTGCTAGGTGATGCTTTAGTTTTATTTTAAACTTTGTTTAATCTGTCCGAGGCAATATATATGTGAAAAATCACTGTTTTTGAATTATGTCACACTAAAATTCATAAACCTTGTTAGGGCATTACAAAATGTGATGCGTGTATGGCTCAATCAGTTAGTGTGTCTACAAATCCAAAGGTCCCGGGTACAAGTCCTAGAGAGGGCGACTTGCCTCAAAAAAAGTAAGTTTGTTTTAATTCCATTTAATTATCATTTACTGTATTTGATTACATAATAATTATCAGAAATTCTCTAAGGACCGCGACTATTGATTGGATACTAAATTAGGAGAGCATCAAGTTTGGCATCGTCAAGTACTAGTGAAATTCAATCACTTGTTGGTTTGGAGATTAATTTTTAGTTTTTTCGTGAAAATATTTTTTTCAGTGTAGTTTAACAGCTGTAACCATAAATTGGTTAACAGTAACTAGTGCAAAACTAGTAGCAAATGGACTAGTTGTTTCCGACGACAAGCATATGAAAAATGGACCACTTCGTTACAAGGAAATGGACAAAACTTGAACTAGTTAACCTTCTTGACCCAACTAGTATTTTAATAGTCCAAAACTGATTCCGTTTCCTGCAGGGTAGTCTCTTAGTTTTTAAGCTATCGGGATCAGAAAGAAGTGGAAACAATTATAGCTTCGGTGTCTTTTGTCATCCTTTCTACTCTTGGGAATATTATTTTTAAAATATTTCTGAATTTGTAAAAAAAAAAAAATTTGTTAAAAAAAATTTGTTTTGTTAAAATTTAATTTGTTAAAAAAAAAACGAACGACTATATTATAGAGCTGCCATAGGAATAACCGGGAAATAATAAAAAATATTTAGGAAAAAAATATAGCATAGTTGATTTTTTATATATTTTCTACTCTAGTATATACTTTTTTAAATTTTTCCAATTTTGTTTTAAGCTTAAAAAAAAATCGGACGACTTTATTATACAGCTGACACAGGAAGAATCGAAAAACTAATGTCAAAATAATACGATAACGCAGGCCGACTGTCGCGACAGTGCACAAATACCACCCGTTAAACGCGAAAACTTAGTATGCAGATATACGTCTATACTAACATATTTTAATGCCCATAACCTGCACCTTTTAATAAAGTCAAAGTTGTTGTTTTGTGTAATAAATAATGTCATATATACGCAAGTAATCCTGAATGTAACATATTTGTAATTTAACAAGAACGAATGAACATTCAACTTCGGGTGGCCGAATCTAATTTCTTGTTTTCATTTTCATATATGTTTTCTGTGTTGTTTTGCAGGTGTGCCTACGAAATATTACGTCGTCGGGATAAAAATACAGCGGGGCGATCATGCCCCGCCTGCAACAAGCTGGTGAGCTCACGCACTCATCTTTGCGGCAGCGTACCGGTTGAGAGTGAAAGCACTGACGGAGGCAGCGCCGTCACGGTTACCCTCAATGCTAATGCTCTGTCGGTCGATGGTCTCCTGGGGATAACCTCCGACATCCTCCTACCTTCCGCCGCGTTTTCCCACGCCAACAAACCAACACTGGACACCGAAAATAGCGCTTTGTTGTCCCCCAAAGTCATGTACCACAGCAACTTATCCTTGGCTTCGTTAAGTATGCGCGCATCTAGCCTGACGATCGACAGCGGTCAAAATGTGACATCATCTGTGTGAAATGAATTCTAGGACTTATTTTAAAGAATGCATTGTATAGGGTTGCATTGAAGAGAAGGAACAGGCCGATTTTGACCACGACGAAATTGGGACACGATGTCAAAATGCAAAATGCAATATCAGGATCGTGATTTTATCGCTCGTTATTATAGATAGATAGTTTTTCTTTTCGTAATATAGATAATGGCATTTTAAATGCACACAAAAGTTAACAGTCATTTTAGTTACTAACAATCTAGGCCCATTGTAAACCACTGAAACAGCAAGCATTTTACCTACTGCTTACGCTTGAGTCCTAACTTATTTCTCAACTAAAGTACCTTACCAAGCTAATACTCGTCAACGTCTAGTGTATTGTTCAAGTTTTAAGATTTAAAAAAATTGCAGGTACATATTAGATTGTTCTTATATATGTGTATGTATGTGCAAACAAAAAACATATATAGGCTAAAAATCGTTACTATGTGTTACTGACACATATTGTTAAAATGCTGGAGCTCCCACTAATAAAGAAATCAAATCTGGTCAATATGTATGATATATAGTTTTCTTTTCGTTGGGTAAAAGGGTAAATTGTAGAGGAATAAGTATGTAAAGTAGAATAAAGCTTTTCAGCCCTATTAGATATATAAGTATATTCTTGACCAGGATCACTATCTATCTAGCTATGCCCGTCTCTCTGTGGAAACGCTGTGATCTTAGAAACTATGAGAAAATGTTGGGGTTTTAGATTCAGATTCCTTAGCCTCTCATTCAACACCAGTTTGTTATCCGATTTTTAAACTTTGTAAAAGTGTAAATGAGATTACGTTAATTTTTATCTACCCATCTAAAAAATGTTCAAATCAGATAATTCATAAACAAGTTATCCGCAATCAAAGAGTTCTTTGCTAAATGGCGCCACTTCGAAAAATCTACTAGTGCATATGGATACCATGCCCATGAGGGCTTGGTTCGATTATACTGTGCAACAAAATTAATGCTATTTCAAATTTACCTCGATAGTTGCTATATTTTTACGAATTACGAATTCCCAAGTTAAACTGCGTTTTTCAGAAAGTTCCCCGACGCAAGGATTCTTAGCACAAGGACCTCAAAGTTTGGAAAAATGCTGAAATTGGCCAACTTTCCGAAGACTCAGAGGCAAACGGATTCATTGTTTTTTTTTTATGTTAAAGTTTTTTTTAAAAGATACACTCTTTATCTTTCAAACCCGATACTTAGAAAAATTTACGGATTTTTTTAAGGCCAAGTACTCACTTTAATCAAAAAGCCTACGAAATGAAACTCTGCTTTTTTATACCCGTTACTCGTAGAGTAATCATACCCGTTACTCGTAGAGTAATTATACCCGTTACTCGTAGAGTAACCTATACCTATCGAAATGTAGAAGACATTTTTCAAATCGGACCATTCATTAAAAAGTTATACGCAATCAAAATTGTTTATATATTTATCTCCCTCGCACTCCCTTTAGCTGAGGTTCGAATGTTAGCTAGTCGGGAAACCAACCCGAGCACAGCGTTCGCACTCCCTTTAGCTGAGTGACGGGTATTAGATAGTCGGGACACCAACCCGACTAAAGCGTTCTCTCTTGTTTGATTATGTGTTGTAGAATTTATTTCTCGCTTAAGAAAAAATCCTTAAATTATTCTAAGTATGGGGTTTGAAAGATAAAGAGTGTATCTTTTAAAAAACTTTAAGATCAAAATAAGCCATGAATCCGTTTGCCTCTGAGACCTCTTTTTTTTCCTCCATTTTTCCTTGTACTAAGAATCCTTGCGTCGGGAAACTTTTTTGAAAACGCAATTTAACTTGGGAATTCGTGACGAATTCAAAAATATAGCATCCATCAAAGTAAATTTTAAATGCTTCACAATGTTATCAATACCCATGTAAAAATTTAACCAAAACAATTTAAAAACAAGAGAGAACGCTATAGTCGGGTGCCCCGACTATCAGATACCCGTTACTCAGCTAAAGGATAAAAACTTTGATCCGCCGTAACTTTTTAACGAATGGTCCGATTTAAAAAATTTCTTATACATTTCGATAGGTATTGATAAACACCTTAAAACTGCATTTTTACTTTTCCGAAATATTGAAATTTGTAAAATCGTATATAAGCGATTGTGGGCGTTAGAGGGGGCGTGGCACCCTTTTGAAACAAACTTGCGCTGCGTAGGAACTCCTAGAATCTGCATGCAAAATGTCAATCTTCTAGCTTTTATAGTTTCCGAGATCTCAGCGTTCATACAGACAGACAGACGGACAGACGGACAGACGGACATGGCTAGATCGATTTGGCTAGTGATCCTGATCAAGAATATATATAGTTTATAGGGTCGGAAACGCTTCCTTCTACCTGTTACATACTTTTGCACGAATCTAGTATACCCTTTTACTCTACGAGTAACGGGTATAACAAGAGAGAACGCTATAGTTGGGTTCGTGTCCCGACTATCTAATACCCGTTACTCGGCTATAACTTTTTAATTAATGATCCGATTTCAAAAATGTCTTCTACACTTTGATAGGTATAAATATACACAACAAAATTGCATTTATACTTCTCGGAAATCTTTAAAGGTATGGGCGCCAGACACATTTTAAAATCGTTAGTGGGTGATTGTGGGCGTTTGAGGGACGTGGCGCTCGGCTATAATAAACTTGCGCTGCGTAAGAAGCCCAAGAATATGTGTGGGAAATCTCAACCTTCTAGCTTTTGTAGTTTCCGAGATCTCAGCGTTCATCCAGACAGATAGACAATACAATATACACTTTTTCTCTACGAGTAACGGGTATAATAATAATCATAATTGTACACAAACTCCATTATTCAGTTTGCCTTTAATTTATTATTGCATTGCTTGATTTTTACATAAATACTTAAATTATGAATGTGCCTAAACATGCCCACCCCTCATTTGCAGTAGGTTGCTAAATTTTATTTAAACTAAATTGACTAGCATACATCGAGAGGCGTATATATATATATATAAGCAATAAGAATTGCTTAATATATCCTACAGCTATTAACATAGTGCCTGCTTTAATGACATTTGAGTATTGTTTAACCATTTGGTATAGTTTAAAGATAAATCAAACTTTATTGTGGTTTCTTCCATGAAGTAAGCGGGTTTTTATTGGAATATCTTGCATTCAAACTTAACTGGAAGGGTTTTTTGGATAATTTATTTATATACAGTTCTTTATATTATTAACCCTATTTATAAAGTGTTATTTGTTTACGATTTTTAGCCGGTACCTCTTGATATATTCACATTAAAAAATCAATATTTGGCCCGTATTTCTTTTCATAAAATGATATAATAATTACAAAGGTACATTTTAATCTTTTCAAATGTGGATGAGTATGGTAGAATGTGTAAGTGGAATAAATAATGCTACATTATAATATTTGCTTGAACTGTGTAAATTTATTTCATTTTATCTTATAAATTTGACTAGATACAGTTGTTTTGACTTTCTGTTTTTTTTTAATTGGGTTCCTCCATTTACATATCATCATTTTTATTCAATCTAATATATCTACATACATACACATTTCTGCTTTACCAAGGACTTCTTATCCATTTGCCTAAGGCCAATTGCATTTTTTTTTAGTAAAGAGGTAAAAATAGCATTGATTCAACGTATAAATACAAATAAACATGGCATCTGACGCGTCCCTAAAGTTTAACTGACGGAATGAATTCATTTTTCGGGAATAACTTGATGTGCTTTTGGGACATTTTAAATTTTCGTCATGCTGCCCTAAGAACCCTTCGTTTAGTGTGTATTTGTTTCATACAGTTTCACAAATGAATCCATCCATCAGTAAAAGTTTAAGAAATCTCCATAAATGTACATTAATGAATTCGTAAAAAAGTACAGCTTACCAAAAGGGATAACAAATGATTATAACTAAAAGTAAATAATATCTACCATAAAACTAAAAAACAAATTAAAACAGAAATAATCTTAATTAGGCAATTAAAAGTATTGAACTTTGCAGATAAGTCCTCCGGACACCGGATAAAAGGCAATATTTCATTTCGTATGCCGTTACGCAATGAATACAATTTCAAGTAAAAAATTTCAATTTCAAGTAAGTCAAGTAAATCGAAATAGCTATCTTACAAAAATTCGCAATCTTGATAAACTCAAATGTGTAAAATGCGTCAAACTTTTTACAAATAGGTACCTTTCCCATGATTAAGAATGAAATCTCATCTTACAGGTCTCGAACCTACTTGAATAGGTAAAAATTGCATATACCAAAGTATTTTATAATTTTACTATTGTTTCCCTATACAAAAAATAATATTACTAATCTGTTAATTTAAGTATCAGTGAGCAGTCAAATTATTACAGAATGGACGCTGAAATTTCTCAACCTTTCTGTGCTCAGCAGACTATCATTACCTTTAGGTCATCCAAGCAATTGGAGACGCCCATATCATCAATAAAGATACTGCCATCCTGCGCGTGTACGTCTGGGTGAAAGCTTTGCTTCATAGTAATCTTCTCATCTAATAGTCGTCCGGTCTTATGCAAATGGTTTGAAGCTCCCTCATCCCGGTCATCGTCATAGCCCTCCCCGCTGTTGGTACCGTTATTATCGTCGTCGTTATTCTTTAAATTGCGACGACTACTGACTTTCATTGCTCTCCCTGAAGGAGTCGTGTGCGTACGAGACAGAGTGCTGGTGCGGGTGATGTGGCAAGTACTGGCACATTTTTCGAATGGCTTTGTATCCAATGTTTCGGGCTTATTGCACGTTCGACGACTGCTTCGGATATGCTGTCACAACATGTCGCCGGTTGGATCATTGGTGTCCCCATGGTCGTCTGGGTCCACCAAATCAAAGTCGTGACTTTCCAGGTCTAAGTCCATATCAGCGTCTTCGTCAAAGGCTCCAAGGGGCGACATGGCTGTTGTATGGAGACTGGAGTAGTTTTCGTGCGTTAAGCTGTTATTAGTAGCCTGATTATGAGTGTGATTGTGGCTTTGATTTGGAGTCTGACTTTGACTGTGGCTTTCGTCCTCTTCCTGCTCGTCTAGCTGTTGTTGGCGACTGTGCGATAAATGCAGGGTGTTTTTGGAGTCGTCGTCCCGCCACTTATCCATTGATCTCCTGCGGGCGTTCATAAAGAAATTACCCACGGTTGTAGGCTCCAGACCCAGTTGCCGCGCGATTGTCACTTGCATCTCCTTTGAAGGTCTTTTGGTCTCCTATAAAGTGATAGATGAATCCATTTTAAACAGCTTCAAAATACTAGCCTAATCAGAGCTCCTAAACAGTTTACTTTTTGGTCCAACGAGAGGAAACAAAGGTTAAATTTGTTCCTTATTTATGATGCGAGAAGAAAAACAAGGAAGGAATTTTCCTATTATTTTGACATTATTTTTTTCGCCCTTCTTATGGAAGCTATGTAAAAGGTAGTCCGATTTTTGTTAAATTTAATGCAAAATTCGGAAATATTAAAAAAAAACACATATCCTAGAGTAGAAGAGAATACAATAAAAATAATGGCTAGATCAACTCGTCTAGTGATGCTGATCAATAATATATGTATAAACTTTGTAGGGTCGGATACGACTCCTTTACTGCGTTGCAAACTTCTGACCGAAATCATAATAACCTTTGCAAGGGTATGACAAGTACGTTTTTTAGGAAGCTAATAGCTATTTGTATTCTATTTTAGTTCTGTTTTCATAAAACTAAAACATATTTCTAAAGTCGTAAAAATCCACTATTTTTCTTTTCTCTAAGGGGTAAAAATATATGATTGAAAGTATTTTTATTTTTTTATTTTTATTAAATAATCAGACATTTCCGGACCATCAGGGGTCCAAACAAACAGACCCAAAACCCTCGGTGTCCCAGAATCTATATTTATACCCTAGCAGAGGGTATTATGATTTTGCAGTTTGCAGCGCAGTGAAGGAGACGTTCCCGACCCCATACAGTATATATATTCTTGATCAGCATCACTAGACGAGTCGATCTAGCCATGTCCGTCTGTCTGTTTCTACGCAAACTCGTCTCTCAGTTTTTAAGCTATCGGGATGAAACTTTCCCAAAAGTCTTCTTTCCATTGAAGGTAGTATATATGTCGGAACCGACCGGATCGGACAACTATATCGTATAGCTCCCATAGAAAGGAAACGTTAAACAAATTCTAGCTCCGGTGTTTTTTAAATATTACCTTCTACTCTTGGGAATATTATTTTTTATATATTTCTGAATTTCGAATTAAATATTTAAAAAATCAGATCACTATATCATATAGCTGCCATAGGAACGGTCGAAAAATTAAATGGAAATTATTAGGAAAAAAATTATATCTTTGTTGATTTTTATTACATTCTCTTTTACTCTGGGTTATGACTATTTTTAATTATTTTCACATTTCGATTTTAATTTTAATACCCTTGCAGATTTTACGAATGAAAACTTGACTAGAATAGCAACATGAATTAATAAACAACAAAACATTTTATAATTGAAAAAAAAAAAATTTAAAATTGTATCCCTATTGTTCCTATGGGAGCTATAGGATATAGACGCCCGATCGGCACGCGCTTTCACCCTAATCAAGGTATGCATAAAATACCATATCATACAGCTGCCGTAGAAACGATCGAAAAATTAAAGTCAAATAATAGGAAATTTAACCCTTTTGCGATTTGTAAATTAATAGAATGATCTGCAAGGGTATATAAGCTTCGGCTTTCCGAAGCTAGCTTATTTTCTTGTTTTGTATGAGTTTCGGATGAATAAGTTGTGATTCTGGCAAAATTGTTCTTAAAGCCTACTATTTGGTTGTTTTTAAATCGTCTAATTCGCTTTAAGAACATTTCCGTGACGTCTTTATCAGTATCACGGCCAATGTTTGGAAAAAGTTGTTTTTTTCGGTGAATATTGAGCCATATATTTGTATGTAGGGGCAAAAGTCATAATCACAGAAAGTAGCAATTTGTGCGTGATAGCTTTTGTAGGTCCCGAGATGTCGGAATTCATGCGAACGGAAAGACAGGCAGACGGTCATCGATAGATCGATTTAAAGCAGCGGTCGGCACACACATACAATAACATTTTGTTTAATATTTGTATGAGTAAATTGCACTGGGCAGATCACCAGAGTGTGTGTGCAGACCGCTGTTCTACAGTATACGTGAGCGAGCAGCGGCTGGGCAGAACAAAACTCTATGCTCACTTAATAGGGCGCTGCCGACCGCTGATTTAAAGGGTTGGTAACGATTCCTTCCACATATTATATCATTTTCAATTTGACTCTACGAATAACGGTTATAATTAAGTGTTATAAGGCAACTACATGAATTTAAACTGAGTTTTCTCAGCGTTTTAGTTACATGACAACCTGCCAATAGGAGCTCCCATGTGTATACCTACTTTGAAAATTGCTTGTAATGTTCGACGCTGAAGATCTGTGAAGACCAATCGCGGTTTTTTTGGCTGAGGCATTTGCTCAATCTGAGGCTCTTCCTTTCGTCGACAATTAACGACGTTGGTAACGGAAACGTTCACGACAGGTGTAGATGCAGACGAAGAGTTCGATTCATTGGGCGGAGCTGAAATAGTTGAATGCATTGGAAAAAATGTTTTGGTTAGGTTAGGATTAATTTAGTTTCTCGGATTTTGACTAATATTTCTCTTTCTGGGACTCCATTCGGCCTAATACTTATAAGTTTAGGTGTAAATGGGTGTTTTTTATTTCCATTTTACTTTTGGGTCTTTGGTTTAAGATTTGGCTGACAAAATATAGTCGTTGCTTTACGATGTTCTAAGAAAATTTAGTTTCGTTCTTTCCGATCCATACAATATAATATAGTAATTCCCTGCTGTCGCCAGCGACATTCGTACGCTTAGCAGGTTAAAAAAAATCTTTTTGGGTCATTATTAGTTTTTTAAGATATATAAAAAAGCTCAACTTTCGGTTGTAGCAAAACGTAAAGAAAGTTCTTTCCGTCGTTTTGTTAGCTGGTTTTTCCAACATTAACGTAAAAAAACGGCTTACAAACTTTGAAACTTTAAAAAAATACTAAAAAAGACTATAAATGACATTTTTGTTCTGAAAAAAGATCCAAGGAAACTCAAATTGCTTAGCTTAGTTGAGGATGTATCTAACTAAAATCAATACCATTGCAAAATCACAGAAATATCCTCAGAGAAATGCCCATATATAACGATTTCTTAGCTCTTAGAATGCCGGTTAAATAACAATTAATTAACAATCAATTAAATAGCAATTAATCTTCATTACGTCATTGCCTTTTCTGGTAGTCACTTCCACTTAACAAGTGATTGGAGTTTGGCCCGTGGAGCACCGATTTTATAATTCCACTTACCATTTGGTGCCATTGGTGGCCCGCCATGAGAGTCCAAATCGGTCGATATGGTGGATATGGAGCTATTAGGTCCTGTTGCTGATCCAAGTGCCATCCCAGAACCCAAAGGCGCTCGCTGAGGAATTTGGGCAGCGGCCATCCGCAGAGCAGACATGCGCTGAAACTCGGGCTCCTGGAGCCACTTGTACATCCTTCGAAACGTCTCGCGGCCGGACTTGAGCTTGGACCACGGCTTCGGGTTGCGCAGCAGATCGGACAAGGTGCCCTGCGAGCGACAGAGGACTCGTTGCGCGAAGATTGCCTGTGGAATGCTGTATCGCTTGAGCTCTGCCGAGATGCGCTGGGCCAGATCCTTCGTGTTGATCTCCTCCATGTCACTGGCGTTTCCGTTGCGGCCCGATCCCCCTCCTCCTCCTCCAGAGGACACTGACGCCTTTGGCGAGGCGGAGACTGAAATCTTGGCCTGCTGGCTGGCACCTTGAAATCCGTTCAGGAGAGCTGATTGGGGCTGCTGGTGGATGGCACACACCGAGTGCGCGGTGGCATGGATGCTTGGGCTGCACTGTTCTGCTGTCACGGTGCTGATCTCTTGACCCTTGTCCAGGAAATACTGCGGCCTCTGCCCTGGGGACAGGCGCTCATTCAGCTTGAGTCCGGTCACCGAGTCGTCTGTTATGGGAGGCGGGGTTGGCGTAAGGGACACAACCACGGGCAGATCGGCGGATAGACTAACAATGCTCCCGTTGCCGTGCTTCCAATCGTCTGGCTTCCAATCCGGGGGGCAGATGGGCGTGGTCGGAGGAAGTTGTCGGTTCAAGTGTCCTCGCTCCGACGGCATGTTCAGGCGAGATCTTCGCTCTGACGGAATGTGGAACCGAGCCTCCAGCTCAGCAGGCATATGAAGTCGCACCTCCCGCTCGGGATGCATTTGGAGCCAATTCCTTTAAATACACATAAAATTTGGTTAAAGATTTTATTTTAACATTTGTATGGGTGTGTATGCTAGAAAGACTGCCACTCGGTAAGCTACCTGCGAAAGCACTCGCTGGACCATTGTCCTTTCGTATTCCAGCGAGTCCATATTTATACCCTTTACTCGTAGAGTAAAAGGGTATATTGTGTTCGAGCAAAAGTATGTAACAGCTAGAAGGAAGCGTTTCCGACCCCATAAAGTATATATATTCTTGATCAGGGTCACTAGCCGAGTCGATCTAGCCATGTCCGTCTGTCCGTCTGTCTGTCTGTATGAACGCTGAGATCTCGGAAACTACAAAAGCTAGAAGGTTGAGTTTTTCCACACATATTCTTGGGCCTCCTACGCAGCGCAAGTTTATTTCAGCCAAGCGCCACGCCCCCTCTAACGCCCACAATCGCCCACTAACGATTTTAAAATGTGTCCTGCGCCCACATCTTTAAAGATTTCCGAGAAGTATAAAAGCAATTTTGTTGTGTATACTTATAACTATCGAAATGTAGAAGACATTTTTCAAATCGGACCATTCAATGAAAAGTTATACGCAATCAAAATTGTTTACATATCTATCTCCCTCGCACTCCCTTTAGCTAAGTTGCGATTATTAGTCGGGACACCAACCCGAGTACAGCGTTCGCACTCCCTTTAGCTGAGTGACGGGTATTAGATAGTCGGGACACCAACACGACTATAGCGTTCTCTCTTGTTCATTTGAGAGCCAATGCACTTTTATTTTATAGCACTTTCTCAATAAGTTTGTATTGAAAATACAGAAGGTCGGTTCTGTCGGCTCTGCATAGATATCAGTGGTCCCACGACTAATCAGATTTGAAATGAAATTTCTTTTGTGTGACCGATTGGCATGTTGGAACTTGTCGATGTAAGTAAATTATACCCGCAGGAAAGGATTACCACAGAAATAAACGCGGAATTGAGTAACCGATTTAACCGAAAATTATAGTCGGAGAACCCGACTATAGCGTTTTTTCTCGCCTTAATTCTAGTTTCTAGCGACATATGTATCTACATACGTTCCTCCGTTGACATCGGGGCCACTATCTGCTCCAGAGATGTGATCGGAATAAACGAATTTCTCTCCATTGACATCCGCGTCTCCGCTGTCTCCTCCAGAGATGTGATCAGAGTACGAAAACTTTTCGCCGTTGACATCGGTATCGCCGCTATCCCCTCCAGATATGTGGCCAGAGTAGGAAAACTTCCCCCCATTGACGTTTGCATGTCCGTGGGAGTGATCGTGAGCTGTCCCAGAATCTTTTTTGTGCCCGTTGTGACTTAGCTGCAGTTGGGTCGAGTTAGACGCGCGTCCCGAAACCGAAGCATGCAGATCGCACGACACTAAGTAGTTGTTGGGCGGAGGTGAGATCATCGACGAAAGCTTTTCGTATGAGGAGTAGGGTGATTGCACCCCGCCCAACACGCCTAGGCCCAAGTGGCCACTGCCCATGGGCATGGTGAGGGCAGAGAATGAACTGCAATCGTTGTTGCTGCATCCCGAAGACGCCACATTGCCACTGGAGATAGAACCCGTTCCTGCAGCCTCGGCGGACTGGTTGGTGACCTCACCACCCTCGACTACTCCTCCACCTCCCTCTCCACCATTGACATCCGTGTCGCCGCTGTCTCCTCCAGAGATGTGGCCAGAGTAGGCAAACTTCTCGGACATCGTCGATATGGGCGGAAGTGGTTGGATGGGAGTCAGGGTGGCATAGGATGTCTGGCTGAACCCCGGTGGTGAGACTCGATCATTCACCGAGGTCAGCGTCTGGTACGAGCTGTGGCTGAGTAGCTGCCCCCGACTTCGCGAGTCCCGATCATCGTCGTCTTCATCCTCTGCATCCCCTTCTCCCTCTCCCTCTCCCTCGCCATCCGCTTCTCCTTCGCCGTCCACCTCCTTGTCGCTGTCCTGCGAGTGGACGATGACCGACAGAACCTCGCCGTGCACTCCATCCAAGCCCATTTCCAGCTGCGTTGATCTGTGGTGCAAGCCATGAAGCGCCTGAGCATGCGACTGGTGGTGAGGGTGGTGGCTCGTGAGGCCGTATTGCTGCTGCTGCTCCAAGAGCTGCTGGTGATGCCTGTTCAGCGTTATGCCCTCGTCGTCGCAACCGACGTCGTCGGAAGAAAGGTCATCCATTTCGTCCACGTCGACGCCGAGACCTGCACTTACGCTCGCCACATCTACGTGCATTCGAATGCGCTTATGACTTTGATCCAGGGCCTTCGATTGGACAATGAGTAGCTTCTGCTCCTGCTTTATCGCCATCTCCTGGGGAAGAACCGACTGGGTCATGGAGTCCACTGTCAGACCATCCAAGCTGATGTCGGACGCCACAAAGTCCACGGGGCTCCCATTGACGATACGCTCCTGGCACTGCTGCGTGTGGTGCCTATTCTGCTGGAGCAGCCCGAAAGGCAACGGCATTGTTCTTGGCTGCAGCTGCTGAGGCACGATTTGATATGATGTCTGCCTATTACTGTGGCCCAGTGAGTCGATAACCATGACTACGGAATCAGATACCGATCCCGATCCCGATCCCGATCCTGATCCGGACCCAGATCCAGAACCGGATCGATGGTGGTGCTTCTTCCCTCCACTAGAACCGTCCGGCCTAGGACAGGCAATCATGGTTTGCATGGACATTGCCAGATCTTCGCCGGAATCAGGTCCACCCTCCTGCAGTTGGGGGTCCGACTGGGACTGCCGCTCCGAATGGTGTCCCACAGTGATGAACTCTGTGGCATCTTCAACCAGCTCCTGACTAAATGTCTGGTGGTCAATTATTTCGTTTATGGACTCCATTCCTTACAAGATGTCGATTTAGTTACGTTAGCCTGGAAGTGCATCTGAAATGGAAGAATAAAGTGAATATAGTAAATGGCTTTTTTATCGTTTCGAAGAATGGAGGTTTGTTTATATAATTTTCAATGGTATTGAAAACTTTCTGTTAGTGGTCCTACAATAGTTTACCTTTAGATCAGATCAGATACAGAACGAGTTTCAAAATAATAAAACAGGCTAAAATCGAAATGCAATAATTATGCCTTTATGTCCCTTAAAAATATGAAAATTAAACCGACTTTCTGGCTTTTATATATAGGCTATGTTTCAATTATTTTTTTTGTTATTAGCTGCACAGAATATTTTTGTCGTTGCCATCGTCGCCGACCTTAAGGGTTGCTTCGTAAATACACAAACATAGATACACGTAAGTATATTCTCTCACTTACACATACGCGTGAGGCAAAGGGTAGGGGTTGCTTGCACTTTTCTAATATTTCCCCCATTTTTACATGTGTACAAATTGGCTTAAATGTTCGTTCCTATGATTAAAATAAAGGTACCGTTTTTTAAAGGTATTTACCCAAATCCTGAGTAGCCTTTAACTACATTTTAGCAAAGCGGCTTCATTCCTGTTTTTGCATCTCGAATCAAATTTATGCAAAGCACTACCACACAAGTCACTCGGAAGGGAAGGTTTTTGAAGATAATTCCGTTCGGTTCCTTGACTGGAATGTTCGAATAGCCGAGCTCGAATTCGAATCAGATTGAGCCAAACGAATAAATCGGGTGTATTTCGGAAAAGGATATATTTTCCAAAGTAAGACAGCTTTTGAGTATATAAAACTGATGGAAACCTAGGGCCTCCGTCACAACGCCTTGTTTGTGTCCACAACTGAATCCTACGGCTAGAAAATTATCTACGCATGTACGTCTATACACACATGTACACACATGTGGGTGGTTTTTACGAAAGTTTGTTATGTGACCGCCGCGTTCCATGAAGTCTCAGCCTCACGCGAATTATACCCAATTCGAACTGAACGGAACCAAACCTAACAGAACGGAACTGAACTGAAATGAACGGCCACAACGCACCACCGTAGTGCTAAGGGTTGCCACAGGCACATACTGCACCATAAACCATAAACCCCACCCCTTAGGCCGGATCATGCGCAGTGCGAGAAGGAGAACTGGAATGTAAAGTGAACTACAATTTCTCACTGCTTCGCTCAACACATTTGAAACGTGATATTTTTCTTTTGATAAAAAAGTTAATGAATCTATATTTTTAACCAGTGGAAAGGTTTATGTTTTACATTCACGGCCGAATGTTTCCACCAAGGGTGTATATAAGATTTGGCGCCTTAAGGATTTTTATATTTATCTTACGGATTGCATTTTTTAGAGCTTTTAAAGCTTTTTACGTTTTTTTTTCGTTTTAATTGTATAATTTTTACCACTTTAATTTGTGGTCTAGGTTTTTGGGTATCGGTTCAACTTTCATAGCAAAATATGAAAAACTTATTAACCCAATTAAACTAATGAGCGTAGTGTCCCAATTCTCATTAATTGTGGGCTTGGTGCGAAAGGCAAATATTTTATTTACCAAAATTTTTATAGTTATACTCCTGAAGGTATTATTTCCGACCCCATAAGATATATATCTCTAGACGATTCGATCTAGTCATGTCATCCTGTCCTCCTTTATCTTCGTGAACTAGTACCTAGTCTGCTTTTTGTTCTTGGAAATATAATTTTTTAAATATTTCTGAATTTTAAATTTAATTGGTCATTTTACCTGCCCAAAATAATAGGAAATTAATAGAAATACTTTATTTTTATATGTGTAGAAACAATTGCAAATAAATGGCAAGCCAACAGAAGTGTCCATTTTCATTCAAAAACTTCGATGTTTTTTTGACATTACCATCAAAAACATCGATGTTACTAAAAATCGATATTTCTCCACCTCTAATTGGAATATTATCGGAAAGGTTGTTCTTTTGTAGGAAAACTTTCTTTCGCTTTTAACTTTAGGGTAAAATAGATAATTTTCATAAAATTTTATTGTAGTCATTGGACACTCTCCTTCTAACTAAAATGTTGTTATAGTTTATTATTTTTCTACCTTGATTTCTTCAATTCCATTATACTTTACAAGTTTCGCGCTTTCAAATTTTTGTTTTGTTCCCCTAAACCGCGACTTGGGATATTTTGCTCGGTTTGACTGCAATCTGGCCCATGAAATACCACGAAGATTCAAGACCAACAAAATATTTAGCAAAAGAATTGCATTGGGCATGAAATTTCCCCTCAGAAAATAATTATTTCAAAAAATCGTCCAATGTCCAATAATGCCCCGAACAGAATGAGACTATTTTTACAAATTTGACATTGATGGAAATTGGTTCGTAATTTCTTTAACGAATGGCGCTTAAAGCTCAAAATTTTAATTCAGCCCCTTAGTGTTCTAGGAATCTTCAGTTAACACGGCGCGCAATTTAAACGTGCTGTTTGGCCGCTAGGGCCACATACTATTCTGCGCCTTTTACTATTCGCCAACAGTATATATATTAAATATATACTATACCCTTGCAGACGGTACGGCCATACGAGCGACAGGAAAATTAATGGGAAATGTCTGCTTAATCCCAGGCGGACATTGCTAGATCGACCCGGCTAGTGATCCTGATCAATAATATATTTATAGAGATAGGGTCGGAAACGCTTCTATCTACATGTTAAAACTTAAATGGAGTCGATTTTCTGTTTTTTTTTTTAATTTTTAAGCCTACAAAATGAAAGTTTTCGTACAAAATGTTGTACTTGAAATTTTCAGGCTGTCCTTTTGTATTTAGGTACTAGTCCTAATGTAAAAACTGTGCGTAGTGAACTTTTTGTTCTGTCGTTCTTAACTGCGATTTTAACCGTTTTTGCGTCAGCTGCTGAACGAGCTATCGCTTGCCGTTGTTTAAGGAATCTAATTTTGCGACCATGACCACTAGTTGTGCCAACTGAAGTCATAATAACTCAAAATAAAACCATGTATTGTCAAATATTATGCCTCACAAGGAAGCAAGAAAGGAAGTACCTTTTGGAAAGCCGAGGTTTATAGCAAATTTCCTTTCGTTTTTCACCCAAGTGGGGGATAAGATCCCTGCAGGAAACGGAATCAGTTTTGGACCAGTGAAATACTAGTTGGGAGAGGAAGTTAAATTGGTTACACTTATGTTAACCAATTTACGTTACAGCTGTTAAACCACACTAAAAATAAATATTTTCACGAAAAAAACTTAAAATGTAAGTCTATACCATTTTGTTCTTGGATTTCACTAGTACTTAACGATGCTTAACTTAACGCTCTCCTCATTAGTAGTCAATTAATATGAGCGATCCTTAAAGGAATTCTGATAATTATTATGTAATCAAATACGGTAAATGATAATTAAATGAAATTAAAACAAACTTCGTTTTTTGAGGTAGGTCGCCCTCTTTAGGAATTGAACCCGGGACCTTTGGATTTGTAGACACACTAACTGATTGAACCAAACACGCATCACATTTTGCAATGCCCTAACAAGCTTTATGAATTTTACTGTGACATAACTCAAAAACAGTGATTATACCCGTTACTCGTAGAGTAAAAGGGTATACTAGATTCGTGCAAAAGTATGTAACAGCTAGAAGGAAGCGTTTCCGACCCCATAAAGTATATATATTCTTGATCAGGGTCACTAGCCGAGTCGATCTAGCCATGTCCGTCTGTCTGTATGAACGCTGAGATCTCAGAAACTACAAAAGCTAGAAGGTTGAGATTTCCCACACATATTCTTTGGCTTCCTACGCAGCGCAAGTTTATTTTAGCCGAGCGCCACGCCCCCTCTAACGCCCACAATCGCCCACTAACGATTTTAAAATGGGTCCTGCGCCCACATCTTTAAAGATTTCCGAAAAGTATAAATGCAATTTTGTTGTGTATATTTATACCTATCGAAATGTAGAAGACATTTTTCAAATCGGACCATTCATTAAAAAGTTATACGCTTTATAAATTGTCAACATATATCTATCTCCCTCGCACTCCCTTTAGCTGAGTTACGATTATTAGTCGGGACACCAACCCGACACAGCGTTCGCACTCCCTTTAGCTGAGTGACGGGTATTAGATAGTCGGGACAACAACCCGACTATAGCGTTCTCTCTTGTTTTAACTAGACTAGACTAGATTAAACTAAGTTTAAAAACAAAAACATCGAGAAACATCGATGTAGCGATGTAGCGGAAGCGTTTCCGACCCCATAAAGTATATACATTCTTGATCAGCGTCACTAGCCGAGTCCATCTAGCCATGTCCGTCTGTCTATCCGTATGAACCCTGAGATATCGAAAATTACAAAAGCTAGAAAGTTAATATTTTCCACACATATTCTTGGGCCTCCTACTTAGCGCAAGTTTATTTCAGGCGAGCGCCACGCCCCCTCTAACGCCCACAATCGCCCACTAACGATTTTAAAATGTGCCCTGCGCCTACATCTTTAAAGATTTCCGAGAAGTATAAATGCAATTTTGTTATGTATATTTATACCTATCGAAATGTAGAAGACATTTTTCAAATCAGACCATTCATTAAAAAGTTATACGCAATCAAAATTGTTTACATATCTATCTACCTCGCACTCCCTTTAGCTGAGTGACGGGTATTAAATAATCGGGACACCAACCCGACTTGTTCACATATGTATTGCTTCGGACAGATTAAACTAAGTTTAAAATAAAACTAAATCTAGGCATGACAAACAAAACATCAAAAAAATATTTTTCAAAGACTGGGGATTGAACCGAGAAATTATTCAGTTTGATTGGTTTTGTGTTAAATTCCCCCAAGGCCGTCTGTCTGTTTCTACGCAAACTAGCCTCTCAGTTTTTGAGCTATCGGGATGAAACTTTCCCAAAAGTCTTCTTTCTTTTGCAGGTAGTATAAAAGTCGGAACCGACCGGATCGGACAACTATATCTTATAGCTCCCATAGGAAGGATCGGAAAAAAAACGTTAAAAAAATTCTAACTTCGGTGTATTTTCTAATATTACTATATTACAATATTGAATGGAAAAAAATTGTATCTTTGTTGATTTTTATTACATTTTCTTTTATTCTGGGATATGACTATTTTTAAATATTTTCGAATTTTGATTTTTATTTTAAAAAAATTACTAAGTTAGAATATAGCTGCCATAGAAACGATCAAAAAATTAATGTGAAATAATAGTAAATTTAACATTTTTGCGATTTGTAAATTAATAGAATGATTTGCAAGGGTATATAAGCTTTGGCTTGCCGAAGCTATAGCTTCCTTTCTTGTTTTGGATCATAGGTGTTTCAATTGCATCTAGTTAATTCCAGAACCAAATAAATATTTGTAAGTTTTTTTTTTGCTTTTTTACTAGTCTTGTATTATTTATTTTTTCGATTAGCACAAGTTTTCTAGACCCTGCGTAGTCCAAATGTATCCAGACAAATTCTGGTTGCTTTATATTAGTTGTATGTTTTTCAGACTAGTTCCCATTTTTCCTGCAGGGTAAATACAGCAAAATTTTGTTTTTAGCATACAGTGGCGGACAAAATACCTTTAGCTTTTACAGAAAAAGTAATGATGCCATCTGGTTTTAAATGTTATAATTACTCAAAAACCAAAATTTCATTCTTTGGCTTAGTACTCAACCCAACAAAAAGTCGTCCAAAACAAAAAACTTCATATGAAAAACAACGTCAAAAAATTTTGTTTCATATGAAGTTTTTGTTTTGGACGACTTTTTGTTGGGTTGAGTACTAGCCCTTATACAACAACAACTTTTAAAGTTATAAACAAAAAACCTAAAAATAGCACCGACAAAAGTCTACATACGATTTTTACATAGATCTTTCGAAATTTTTGCTTTAAAATTTCCCAAGCCTGGTCTATAATACATATGTACCGGCTTAGTGCTGGTGAAATTAATTGACAAGGAGCAGAATACAGCAGCCAATCGTTCACGATATGCGGCGTATGCCTTTGATCGTTATCCGGTTGTTC